GCCAGCAGCCGCATCTGCAGCAGCCGAGATGCAGCAATTCTCGATGTTGCTGCCAAAAGCCAAAAAGCCAAAAAGCAAGCCAAGAAGCCGAAAGGCCAAGAAGCCAAAAAGCCAAGAAGCCAAAAAAACCGAGAAGCCAGCAAGCCACACCAAAGCAAGAGCCACACCAAAGCAAAAAAAAAACTGGACCCCCTTAAAGACTTAAACCCTAAAAGGCACAAACACAAGACACGAAGCACCAACCGTTCGCAAAGACTAGACACGAAGCACACAGGCTTAACGGAACCTATGAAAACACTAGCACTCTGCACGAGACTCAAGCTTCTGCCAAATAGGACAAATTGCAGCACATGCACGCTGGAAACTCCGTCATTACCGGCCTGTTGTTGCAGCAACTCCACTTGCGACTGGAGCTCTTTGAAGGCAGCGACGGAGACCGGTGCCCCCACTGGGCCACTTACTGCTGCCCCCACCACTTCTGCGCCTTATCTACTTCGGGACCAGGACAAGGACACAGCCAAGAGCAGAGCAACATCCGCAAGACAGCCGAGCACCTGTGCAGCCAAACTCTGCCATGCGATAGCTGTTCTCCACCGCCTTCGCCTCGAGTGAGAGCATTTTACAGCATTGACATGGTGATCTCGAGTTGGAACTCTTGTAATTTTACCTCGGCCAGTTCTGCGAATCTGCGCGAGCTTGACATTGACCTCTGCTGTCTGCAAGCATAGCGCAAAAGCATCATAAGAGCCAGTTGCATCACCACTGCTGGGTGACCAGACGCAATGGCAATGCTCTGTGTTATTATGAACAACACCTGCAGGTGCACCAGGTTGCACTCCAAAAATGCAACTTGAATCAAGGCCTTGCCGCCCACATCTCCTACATCCTCTGCCACAGTCGGAGCCACCCTGCAGCGGCATCACCAGAGTCGCGAATTGAAAGATATGCGGCCACGCAGTTCAGGCTTGGACCACAAAGTGCTGAAGCCGTAAGCCGTCCAAGCCTCAGGCTACACTCTTCTAGATACCAAAGATTGCAGGGTCATAACATCTTGCTTCTGCTGTGCTTGCAGACCTATGAGCGAAACGAGACCGAGAACACAACCACATTGAAAAGTGCCAACTTTGGCGAGCAACCCTGTCCTGTGCGTGCGAAGGGACCATAGGATGGTGTCTTCGATAGGCAGGAACGAACATGTCTGCACTCACCCCTTAACAGTCCTTTGCAGCACTCGCAGCTGCAGGCATCCCTCAAATGCTCCAGCAACTTGATTTGATACATTACGAGCACTCGCGGCAACCGCAAAGTGCGTCCCACCTGTACGAACCCAGAAGTGGCACGACTGGCAGCACTGCCAGTACCCCCATCAATGCCTGCAGACAACAACAAATGGCCTCCGTCTACCGGAACCTTCGGCGTTGCAGGTGAAGCGCCTGAACTTTGAACATTTCTTGATGTGCTGAGGTTCCAACAAGCAGCCGTAGCATGAACGGCATGTGGTCACACCCTTTCTGACCTGCAGCAATGCACAATGTTCTCCTGGGCGGTGCGTTCAAGCCAGATGAAGCCGTCCTTGAAAAATATGAGGCTCGGGCAGGTTTCCATCTCACGCTGCACCTGAAACAGGGTGGCTGATGTCGGATGCAGCTGCACCCACTCAACGTCGTCTTTCCACTGCACATCTCGCGGGGTGGCTGCAACAATAACGGGTCTGATGCGATGTGAACGCTTCACTGGCAGTCAGCCATGAGCGGTCCGTCAGCAGCTGGTGACCAAGCATTGCACATGAAGGATGATGCTAACAAGTTAGCTCCGAAACTAGAAGTCATTTGTAACTACAAAAACATCCCGGGGCTGCTTTACCGGGTCTGACACCTTTGCTCCTAAACCAGGGAGGAAAATTGGTATCTACGAAAATCCGCAAACTCATGCGAGACCTCCTCAGATATGCCGTCGCTTCTACACCAGAATGGATCTTTCGCATGCCTTCAGTCTGAGTGGTCCCGCCAGGATGCCGCGACTTCGCGGCTCATAAGTCTTTTCTCACATGTCACGCAGATCACTGAAGTCGATCTCCACCTTCTTCTCTCCGGGCTTTGCCTCCTGCAAGGAGCAAACAGCACGTTGGCACTAGTTTCACTTGTGTTCTTCTCCTCGCTCGGTCGCGACCATGGGAACCAGATCAGTGAACCGAAGGCCGACATCACAAGGACAGGAACGAGGAATATGGCGACGACCTGGAAATCTGAGACTGAGCACTGGCCTCAGTGTAGAAAGCAAGCTGAGATCATGGCCAGTACTCCTGGCTCTGCGCAATGCTGCGACATTTAGGACAAACTGAGTCTGCCTGTGAGGTTGGATTGAAATCCCCAGCGTCCTAGAAAGCCGCTGCGCTCATCCTGGGTCAGACCCGATAGACTGGGATCGGCAGGACCCACCTGTGCTGGCCTGAGCCAGAGGGCAAGTGCGAAGACTGGCCAAACGGCCTCGAGATGTCATTCAGATTGCGTCCGGGCCACTGATCACCCCATTGTTTCCAAAGCTTGGCAAGATCGTTCTCCTTGTGACGAGATGGCTCTGACAGTGCATCTGGCAGAGTTCAATCGGAAAGTGTCGTCCTTCTCGGGGACAGAGATGAAGTCTGGGAGTCCCTCGGGTCGCTTTGCCTGCATCAGAGACACTGTGAGGCTACACTGGCAATTAACCCCTCGGAAATCTTCGTCTGCTGGCTCAAAGCTTCGGCTCGGCCTTGATGTCTGCAAGGGCTGCGGATCCCGTTGATGCGACAAGCCTTGCCGGTAATTTCTGACAATCCTGTCTGCAAGGATGTTCTCCGACGACAAGAGTGTCTTGAGAGAGTCTCTCATCGTGTGAGAGGTCGCAGGTCGCGGTAGAGATTAGCCGGCAAGAGACAGTGCGGCAGCGCCGGCACTGACTTGTCTGCGCTCCAGAGCCTGGCAGGGTCACAGGTCAAGCCTGGTCAGTGTGACACGTATGGCTGCAAAGAAGTTTGGCCTTTTGAGGAGGGGGAGCAAAGCATAGCCTTGCCAGCAACACGCTTCAGTTGTTGGACCTACAAAGACAATCGCCCCTGGCATTCTGCCTTGGGACCAGGGCAGCTGTGCACAGGAGAACAAACCTCAAGAGTCCGGTGATGTCCGGTGTACCCCATGCTAGCTCCACTGCCAGGAAACAACTGAGGTGCTCACCCAGAGAGCAGGTTGCAGCGACGGTAGGCTGTGCACTGCCGGTGCTGGAATGCCATGGCAGAATGGGTCTGTGTGTGTGCAAGAACTAAAACCAATCCGCGCCAATCATAGACAGCTGCAGCATGAGGCTTCCCATTGGAACAGCGTGATTTCTGATTTCTTGAGCCCAATTTACATTTGACGGATCCGGGCACCACATCGTCACAGCAGATGTCTGCACTCGAGCACTGGGCAGCTCCTGCCTGGCGTCGCGTATACCCCACCTTGCCGCAGCCCCCAAAAAACGCAAGAGCTTTGATGCCTGGCCTGATGCAAGTTCCAAGTTCAAAAGTTCACACCATGCGAATAACTGCGAATACACACAGAACCTGAAGACCAGCGCTGGAACAACATCGATAAGTTTGGTTATGATTCCGTGATGGGTCCTCCTTGGGATGTGAGAACACTTGTGGCACACCGTAGTTGCTGTAGTTGCACAAAATCATGACCATGCGCAGACAGACATGCACTCCACATCACTCCACCGACGGCCTGATGCAAAGGAATACAAAGTCTTCAAGCGCATTGTGAAGTTCCTCCTACGACTACTGCTTAATGCATGCGTCGAAACACCTGTTTGTGGCAGATCTCTTCACACTTCCTGCCCACGGACGTCATGGAGCTGACCTCCGGAATGCACCACATCCGGCCAGCAGCGCAAGCAAAAGCTGCTTTGCACAGCCGGCCTCGCATCTGTCCATGCATTGGAGAAGCCTGCCACAAAGCTTTAGCTTTGACAAGAACAGCTAGAATCCAAACCAGCAGTACGCATCTCGTGCATCAGCATCACCAAACCGAAAAATGTATCTTGGCCGCGAGAGAGACATGATGTCGCTCAAAAGCCTGTCTTCAAGATCATCGGCAACTCGTACGCAACGAGAAATACAAACCTTCGGATAGCATCACGGAAGCAAGTCGTCGCAGTAATGATTGCCAAAGACGATTGTTGCTGCTGCACGACACTCGGACTCCAACTGCACTGGATGATGCAATCATGGTGGCCATGAGCAGCCTGAGGCAATGCCATCCACATGCCGACGAACGCGAGGACTGAGCACCAGGGTTCCGACACTAGCATGCCTGCAGGGCCTAGATACCAGGACATGCGCACCTGGGACCGTTAGACTTCGAAACAGCATGAACATGTTCGACCTCACGATCACTGGCACTGTGAGCCGACCGAGGCCATCCGAGGCAGCGGGCAGGAGGCGGATTCTCATCGATGGCCTCCAAGATGTGCCGACCACGCCTCAAAATCTTTTTGAAGCATTTTGCACTTAAAGCCAACGCTCAAGCAAGACGTTTGCACATCACCGGGACAGTAAAGCCAACGCTCAAGCAAGACGTTCGCGCATCACCGGGACAGTGCCGATAACCGGTTTAAGTGCATCAAATGTGGATCCAAGATGCATTTGTACTTGGTCCCATGTAGGGATCGAGAGCGCCATGGCTCGAGAAGAGGCACGGCTAAGTCAAGAGTCAAACTGCTCCTGTAGTCTTCACCCACGAGCCTGGAAGCGCACGCGACAGCAGACTCAAGACTGCTGCATCCCTTTTCACAAACTCACGGCGAAATAAAGGTGCGTCTGCTGTCTGTCTGCTTGTTGTTTCGCATGTGGACTTGCTTGGAAGGCTGCGTGCAAGCGACACAAAACAAGATCTTAAGATTGGAAAGCAGCGGGAGAAAACCGTCTCATGCGATACTGCAATGTCGCTTCAAAGAGCAGACTGGTATCTGCAGAAGGAGCCGGCCGGATTGGACATCTTGATTCTGCGAAACTTTTGCTCGGACGGGCTCTTCTCCACGTTCCTTGCAAGTTCGGCATGCATGAGGTACACCTGATGCAAGACATCCGAGCCGCTTGAGGCACCGAAACCAGCAAGGTTCGTCGATTTATCTTAATTTTGCTTCTCTCGTTTCGAAGTTTCGTTGCAGTAAAGGCAGGGAATTGATAGATCGTCTTCCGCGCTCCGGCACTTCCCTTCATCCTCACTGCCTCCTTACGTAAGGCCATCATCCATAGAGTGAAGTTGATGCAACTTTGCTGTTCTGTTATGCCTGCCTCGAGCGGGAGGAGAACTGACGTGCGCAGCCTCGTGCCCAGCGACCCCTTGAGGCCGTATGTCCTCTGACCCCACTGCGAAGCTGATATCAAGACGAGAACTGTTGAAGGCCTGTCCGGAGGTAGCTACGTTGTTTGGGGGCCGCAACACGGGTGCGAGCATACACTGTGTCGAAGCAACAGTTTCTGGAGCTAAGTCCTCATGGAGCCTGCTGGAACATCGCTATAACTTCATCCAGGAACTTTGAAGCACGCAGGCCTTAAGCATGGCTCTCCTGTACGGGAAACCACAGAGCCACAAAGTTGATGCGGTGACCACTGGGCAGGCGCACTCCGTCATCTTCAGCAGCATCTGCAGTGCAGTTCGGCGTACCTTGGAACAACCCACACATGCATCCTATGCGCAGTTGGGCTCACTGCAGAACTAGAGGTGTCGTATTTGCCGAATTGCTTCCTATTGCAGGGTGATCACTTCTTGGAAAGTTCATCTTGCTTCCGATTGCAGTGCTGCTTTTGCCACGCCAAATGTGTTAAGCTATCCAGGAATCCTGCGGTAAGCTACTAGCAACTCGCAATTGCAAAGCGGCACCCAAATGGTGCAAAAACAGATTCGCTGGTTTCATGGCAAGCTGTAGGAAAATCCGATTTGCAAGGCTTTGTTAAACGGCTGTATTGTAGCAAGCTTTCCTAGCAAGCGATTGGCGAGCTACATCACGCAGTGTCTGTCTTGAGGCAACCTACTGGGAAACTTCAATTTGGTAAGTTTGTGTTCCCGACATCGCTATCGGAGCATTCCAATTTCCCCGTCCTGGTCTATTCGTGGGCTTGCTGCCTTGAATTGACCGGTTCCGTGGCAAGGTATTGAATAACTCCACAAACTGTTTTTTCTGTGGCAAGCTGTTAAAGACAAAAATGGTGTGCAAGGTTCTGTTCTGCAGCAAAATATCGAACTTCTGAGTTGTAACGAAAATGCAGATGCAAGATCAGAGACACGATGCTCAAGATCGGAAATTCCTTGTCAATGCTTTGCTATGGTGGGCGTTTAAAAAGTTGAATCAGAATCGGGCATTGGGGTGTGTTACACTCTTGTTGCAAGAAGGAACCCCCAAAATAGTAGTGGTAGTTCTTTAGGCCCCTATATTCAGCGGGTAACAGTAGGGTTTAGGGAAATGCTGGAAAATCTTGTCCATGGTTTTCCAACATATCGGATAGTTCTGTGTATTTATTGTATATACACTATATGCGTACTGTATGTATGCTGTCTGTATACGTGTATACTCATATATGCACATATGTACTGTATATAGATATAATGTGTATGCTGTATGTACATAGTCTATATACGACACACGTACTGTACATTCGAATGTATATTTATGCACTGGGTAAACGATATGTTGCATAATATATTCAGAGTGGAGGCTGTTCGCAAAGTGTTCAAGGTGCGACCCCATTGCAAGGAGGTATTGCTTGCATTCCCCGTGTTGCCAATGCTTGCTGGCAGGACCTGGGAGCGGAGGGGACAAACCGCACTCTCCCTCAACCCTCCCTCAACCCCTTATCCTTGCTGCGCCAAGCCACGCCACACCAATCCAAGTCAGTTTTCTGATCGAAGATGCTATCTAAAGTAGTGTATGTGCATACATATGCTTCGTACATATAACTACATACACGAAACGTACCGAAGGTACAAAGCATAGCTATTCTGCACGTACACTGTATATGCATACCATTAGTGTACCAAATACACGATGTACTATACACACTACATAAACTCTATACTAGATATACTCTAAATATAAATATACATACACGTTATACACTAGAACATATGCACTATATGTACTATGTAATATACGCATATGTATGTACGCTGAATTTTACTGTATATACGATCTACACTATAAACTCTATATGCATATATGTGCTGTGTACATGGCATATGACATATACATTCATATGAGCTATATATATGTATGAGAAAAAGAGGGGGGCCCTTTAGGGTCGATTTAACGCGTTGATTTCGTGAATATAGGTGGTAATATTAAAATATTTAGACCAATTTACATAGTTTAAATACAAATCCAGGGGTTTTAGTTATTTTGACTCCTTCAAGTGTTTTAACTATTTCAATTATTTTGCTTATTGTACTTATCCTACTGATTTTAATTATTGTATTTATTTCAAGCATCTCAACTATTCTAACTATTTTACATATTTTAGTTACTGTAATTACTGTAATTTATTAAACTGTTTTAGTTATCTAACAGCAGGAAATTTTTAAGACATTTGAGTTAATATTTTTCTTATACACATTCAGAAACCCAGCGATGTAAATACTTAAAATATTTGAGATTAATTAAAACAGTCAAAACAAAAATCCGGACTATCATAATGATGTTAATTATGTTAATTATTTGGTGGCCAAATTTTCTAATAACCAATATCAATATTATTCTAAGTATTATACCGATTCTAATAAGGGGAAACCCTAGGCGAAGCCAGAGAATTTAACTACTGTACTTATTTAAGAGCCCAACGTTTCAAACTTTGTAGAAAAAACTAAAGTAGCAGCATCTTAATACACGAAATCGGAAACCCAGCGGTTAAAATAAACAGGAAAATAAGTAATTAAGATAATTAAGATCCGGATTGTTTTAGCTATTCTAATTATTTGGTGGCCACAATTTTCAAAACACCTAAAAAAAGTTAAACAATTAAAATCCGGACTATTTTTATACTATTTATCATTTTAGCTACTTGGGAGCCAAATCTTTCAAAAAGTTAAAATAATTACAACCCTGGCTATTTTACCTCTTTTAACCTGTTTAATTATTTGGGAACCAAACTATTCAAATAATTGCCACAAGTAAAAACCTCATTATTTTACCTTATTAAACCCGTTTAATTATTTGGGAGCCAAAATTTTCATATAATTAAAACCGTTAAAACCTGATTGTTTTATTATTTTAAAGTTTTACTTATTTGAATAAGGGGAATTCCCGAGACGAAGCCAGGGAATTCAATTTTTTAATATTTTGGTTATTTCGGAGCCCAAATTTTTTAAAACTATGAAAATAAGAAAATAATTCAAAGTAATATGTTCTTCTACAAAATCAGAAACCCATTTTACTTGAAAGAAGTAGTCATCATCTCCTTCGCCATGCTCATAAGGCACGGCAGAGTGGCTAGCCATTGCGCTGTTCACGGATCGAGCCCCGGGAGATTTCTCTTCCGGTTATCTTCACATGAGTAAAGAGTGCCGGAAAGAACCCGGTCACCTTCACCTGAGTGAAGCACACCGGGGATCCGGTTGCTTCCACTAGTGCAGAGCGTACCAAAAGGGTAATTCCACTGATGTGAAGCTTCCCTTTTTCCCCGGGAGCTCCGCTACCACGTTGAGATGTAACCTGGGCGTGTATCCCCTCGCGAAGCGTAGAGCAGCACAGGCGATGCAGGAGCTGTAGATCGTACTCTGCTAAAGCCTTGAGCAACAGGCATGGATACATGTATCTTTCAGTGTTTCACCCTCCTCTCCTTCCCATCCCTGTCTGTCCTCCGATCCCACTCCCCTCACCCTTCCACTCCCCGCCTGCCCACCCTCTAACCCTCACTCTTCGCCTCCACTTCCTATCTTTGCTCCCCCTCCCCACCGTCCCCTCTCCCCTCCCCCACCCTTGCCATATTAAAAATGGAAGCTTTGTTGTAAACACTTGTTTTTCTTCGCAATCGGAAACGCAAGAGTTTTTTTGTAAACCCATGTCCCCCGCCGACACATGTTGTCCCTATCATTGTTGTATGCGCTAAATTACGAACAACGTTCCGAAAACGAGACGGTTTGCTATGATGATGATGATGATGGCACCCTTTGTGCATAATTACCGTCGTTCATATTGCTTCCTTGTGCTTGATTTGGTTGTGACGGATTACTAGTACTGGTTTAATCACTATTATTATCAGTGAGGTGAGGATAATCAGTACTAACTGCTAATCTTATGGATTGCAGTTGATGCTGTTGCTGCTGTGGTGAATGAAAGTCAAAGTCCAATGAGAGGGACACTGCTTGGAGTTCACCACCCTATCTTCTTCGTCCTCCTACTCCCCTTCATTCAGTCATTCTGTTCTACATCCCCATCCTCCCTCCAAAGAGCAGCCAACCTCTCCATCTTCAAGTTTTCACGTGTCATCTTCATCGCCAACATCTTTTTGTCCTCCATCATATGACTCTGTGATTAGTGTTCAACTTGCTGTTGTTGATGATGTTGTATTGTTGCTGTTGCTGAAGACAGGCAAAATCCGACTGACACTGAAACATAGACTACAAAAACAGCTAAGGGGGGCCACTGCTTGCGATTAACGGTTTCAAGAGCATGAACACCAAAAGAGAAGAGGGGACACTGCCTGCGATTGAGGATTGGTAAATGATCATCGCAAGAAGCACCAACATTCAATTTGTGTTGTTTACTTGTCATCATCAACATCTTCATTACCTCCATCATATGACTTCGTAGTTGTGATTGGTTTTTGTTGTTCGTTGTTCCACTCAAAAGTCAAAAGAACGACAAAAAAAACAACAGACACAGAAACATAGAATACATAAAGCTTCAAGTACAAGTATTGCATGCGACACATACAAGAAGCGACGCTAGACGACAACATTCAATAAACACTTCAGGAAAGCAATATCTCACATACGACCACAACATCAGCAGCAGCACCCAATCTGTAGACTAAATATACTAGATTTGTGAAATATAGAAGACATACTAGCCTTACTATGTATACTGTATCTACTGTACATACTATGCGTTCTGGACAAGCTGTACACGCTATATACAATGCGCGTATTGTACAAAGTGTAAAAACTGTACACATATTGTTGAAGCACATACAAAACATGCATATCGTGTATACCGTATATACATACTACTTAGGCAGTATGTAACAGTATGTCTATATTCAATCTGTACTGACATTCTAGTGCATGTGCAGCGCCTACGCAGTAGGCATGCAACAGCGAAGTGTGCATGTGCGTAGTTCTGTAAGTTAGGGTCCCTGTTTAGGTTATCAAAAAAGTACGACACCCTTATGAAACGAACCCAAAGCTGATCCGAGATCAGAGAACTACCCATGTAGACAACGGAGAAACAAAGAGGGAAAATTAAAATAGATCGTGCCTATAAAGTAGATATAATCTGCACGCAACGAGAACATGTCTATTCAATACTGAAAGTGCATAAAGAAGTGTTGCATACATGTGTGTATATTATTCCTGTACATGGTATGTAGGTTTAAGCAGGAACTAAATCGGGGTCGCAGAAAAACTGCCGGGCCTTACCTTCCAGAGCATTAACACATATTAATATTATTGGCTATGCGGAAGACAAGAAAAAACACCGGCAGAATGCGCTGAAACGCAGCGTGGCCTCCCTGCTAGCAAATGTATTCAAACTTCTGGCCTCCTGCTCGTTTTTCGCGAGGTCCACGAGCGCCGCCTAGAAAGGCAACTTCGGTTGGAGTCGTGTTACGTTAAGCGACCGAACCACAGGAGCTTCTCTTCAACGAGAGAACCCTTGACCGATCACATTCACAAAACTGCGAATTCCACCAACGTTGGCTCATAGTCTCACGAGCTCCTACAAAAATCTCAGCGGCAGAATACCTGTCGGATAGACAAAGTTCGCAGTTTATCTCACCCGCCGCCTTTAGATCTGTGTCGTCCCCGGCTTCTGCCACGACAGCGGGGGATGCCCCGACCTTGGACAGAGGCCACATGCAGCCCAAAGTTCATCACAGCAACATGCGCTTGTCAAAACTAGTTGGGAGCATCACCACTTCAAGCATCGTGGAGATTCCAAATCATTGTGTTTCACTCGGGGTTTAGGGAAAGCAAAACAAGAGCACAACGAAATCCTACACCGAAACCCCTGCACAAAGAAAGATGCATAGAGAGCCTCAGCAGGCCTGAAAGACGCCTTAAGCTTGAAAACCGCACAGACCGAACACGACTAATGAATAATGCTGCTGCTGTCACCTAGTGCTGCTACAATTACAACTAACTACAACTTACATCCTAAGCTACGTCACAAACACTTAAGTCACTTAAGGCTTTGAGTGAACCCGACGAGAAGCGCACGTTGGCATTTAACAAAGGCACGAACCATACAACCGAAGAATACTCTGTTTCCGCCGCTACACGCTTCTTCCTACGGGTACTACAACCTCTCAGCCACGAAAGTAGCAAACACGAAACAACTTCTGCAGCGGCTTCATCGAAGCATCAACCCAGTGCACTGCAAGGCTCCCAGCGTTGGAAAAGGGATTCAGTGAGGAGGAGTTGCCTAGCAATCTTGCAACAAGCGCCGTGCACAGTAAACGGTACATGCAGGAGCTGTGCATGACAGCGGGCATGCACCTCCAGAGCGCATACTGCGCTCCATATTCTCGATCATGACCTTCAAAGCCTTCATGCAGGATCCAAAACAGCTCGCAACAAGGAAGCGGGCCACCAGCAAAGCATATCAGCCTGACCCTGTGGCGTCGACAGAGCTTCTTCTGCCACATTGACGATGCTCGTTGGAAGGCCTGCATGCTCTGCGCACACAACGTACATGCGGACACAATGTACATGACGAGCAGAATATTATGCTGTTGCACAGCATAGCACCTGTACCATCAAGCAAGAACTTTGCAACATCGTCTGCATAATGATTGCCTGGCGAAGACTTGTGTTAGATGAGTCAGGCTGCCAGATACCACATTTTGTGCGGTGACCATCTAAGTTGCGCTCAATTATGTCGCAGCAAGTCATAGTTCTGCTCGTTGTGCTCGAGCGAGAGCACGTTTCGGATGTACCTCTGGCATGTCACAGCTTCAGCGTTCGAGCCAGTTATCAAGTCAAGAGCGAGGTCCAGTGAGGAAGGTGCGCTTCCAGCTCCTCGCACGTCTTCTGGGTTTCACCCAGCTCTAACACCTGAGGAGTGCTATGCTGCTACGCAAACCGAAATCGCACATGCAGCTGCGCAACCCAACATTCAGAAAGTGCAAGAAAAACATCGCCTTGCCTGCGTAACTGGCACGGGCACCTTATGACCAGTGAAGAAATACTGCTATGGGAATGAGGAGTCGTGGAAAGCATGCAAGAACAAAATGATACAGATCTGCTTCGTTTCGAAACAAGCTCACCGCGGTCGAGCACCAAATTCGAAGGCAACGAAGCAGGAGTCCCTACCCCTGATGCCCACCAACGGATCGCTGGAATCTGGGAGCTGCGGGCGCTTGCTCTTCTATTCTTTTTCCGCTTTCACTCTGCTTTTGGCTGCTCTCTTGCCTTGTCCTGTTAGTTAGGGCCATGCAATGGCACTGCAATCCTCTCTCAATTAGGACCGGTGCGACCCAGCCAAGCCGATTTAGCTTGCGAGTCATAATTGTGGCAGAGCCTGACGACCAAGAACGACTGCTGCCGTAAGTCGCTCGCAGATTGACCAGGAATGCCAACCTGAGGACCTCCACCGAAGAAATACCTGCCAGCGGTCAGCGACCATGCGGTTGGCTCAGAAGCTTTCGTCCCGCCCACACAATACAACTGCTGGTTGAAACTCAGCCCGGCGCTCTTTGCCGAAAACCGCAATACCCGTGTGAGGGATGTAATCGATTTTCTTCCCTGTGCGGCAAGCCGACAATATTCTGCACAGACAGACAACCAATGCTTCGAAGCCGGTTTGCGCTGCTTGCAGACACCTCTGCTCTGCTGCAATTTACTAAGCAGTCATTCAGAGTCCGGCCGCACACAGCTGTGACTCCAAATCTTGCATGAGGCTGCACAGGGAATGATCCAGCCATCGTGTAAGCTGCGTCATGCGGCTGCTATGCAGAGCATGCTGCACCGATGATCAATCTATCTCAGTGCCATCACCCCCATCCTGCTGAACAGGAATACGCGCAGGAGTAACTCTGGGGACATGCAGTGGTGACTCCAACTATGCTTTTGGTTTGGGGAAGCTTCAGTGCAGAAGGCTTGGAACCTGGGAGCAGTATGGAGCAGTTCTGCAGATTGGAGATGCAGCTCGAAGGGAGGGGTCATTTGCCAGAAGGGCCAGGCCCGGCCAGGCTACTTGGCTACTCATCCTGTGCTTTCACCAGGATAGTTGGATCGGCGAGGAACATGCCTCCTTGAAATCGAGCCCAGGTTCCAGGAGCACGATCAGGCATCGTGCCTTTCTCCACAGGCTCGCTGTAAATAAAGCCAGCTTCACAACGGAACTTCCATTCTTTGGCATCTTGTCCGCCGACGAACCATCGCCTGACAGCAGGCTCGCACTGATCTCATGAAAGCCATGGCAAGGAACGGAATGCTAAAGGCACGAAAACTCTGCCCGAAGTCGCATACCACGGCACCTGTTCGTTCCGCAGTAAAGCCATAGCTCCGAACCAACGTGCTTCCACAACGGCATTCCATTTGCGGACTCACCAGGAACTCGATGGTACTCGCCGTTGATGGCAGGAATTCCCGGAATGTTGTGGCAAGAAACCGAAATTCGTGCAGGGACACTGACGTCCGGAGTATCCATCGGCTCTTGACTGGGAGGCTTAGGAAGGAATCCAGCTGGAACTGCGCGCTTTGGAGGACTGACAGATCGCACACGCACCCCTTGTACTTGCCAGGCCTGGGGAGGACCTACAGGTGTCGGACGGCAGTAAAGTGGTCTCAAAAGTGGCCCAGCCGACCGCGCATCACCTGAAGGGGAAGACGGTCTCGAAGGCATCCTCTCGTTTCCATCCACAGTGAGCTTGATGCTGTTAATTCCATCCTTCAAGGACCGAATCTCAGATGTTATTTTCTCTTGAACTGCACTTTGGTTGAGGGATGCTTCTTGGCTGACTTTGATGCGCTGGAGCTCAACAGAGAGCTCCCCAATTCGGCGATCAGTTGCATCCTTGAAGGTGGCCTGAGTCTCTTGGCAGACCAGCAGATCCTTCTCAATTCTGTCCAGTGCTTTGCTGCAAAATCCCTGGTCAACTTTAATACCATCCAGCCGGCCACTGAGCATGTCTTGCTGCTGCTTCACAGAGAACGCATTCTCCTCCAGATCTTTCTGAAACCGCTGCTGCAAAGCAGCATCCTGCTTCCTCAGAAAGCTCTGCAAATTTTGCTGCATTTCTTGCAGCTTTGTATTTAGCTGTTGTTCCACATGTGCCTGTGATGCAGAGATGATCTGCTTTGTATCTGTCTCCAGCTTCTTCATTGCCTTCGCACTTTCCTGTCGATCTTGCTGAATCTGTTGTGCAAGCTCTCCAAGGTGCTCCGCCTGTGCCTGCGCAAGGTTCATCAGACACAACCAGGCCTGTCTAGCCTTGCATCTCTCTTCCTTCTTCGGAATTGGGACGGGCTTAAGTGCAATTCAGGTGGGGACCCAACCGTGATCCAACCGTGTGTCCGACAAGCATGGCTCCCGCTGAAGGTTCCGCCTCGTGGGCCTGGTTCTGCTTGAAAGTGTTGAAACCAGAAAACAACGTCCGCCGACGTTGGTTTCGTGCTTCCATGTAAAGTTGAGTGGTGATGCCTAGAAGCCATAGGTTTGATCACAGTCTCCCCGGAAGCTGAAAATGCCCCTACATCATGGGTTTCGCGTACGGCTACCAGCGGCGAGCATCGCGAAGTAAAAAGTAAAAGAGTCAAAGGTTGGATCGACAAGCTGAGGCCACAATGGCCTTCTCTCTTCCTTCCTTCTTCCACATAACAGCAACGGAAGACTGAACCCCGCCCTCGCTTTAAGCGACATGATGAGACCACCCTTCATCCGCACTTAACTTAGTGACTTAGTGTGTTTGCCCAGGTTCAAAGTGTCAGTCCCTCAAGCCCGTCGGATAAAGTTGCTGCAGTCGTCATCTGTGCATGCTCCCTAGCCGTACAACGGAATATGACAGGAGGGCGAGGCATTTGTTACAGGTGAAGGAGATAGCCTTCTAGATTCTAGATACCCAGCCTGGCAGCACGGGGCGAACCGAAGGACATGCATCCAACGATATGCTGAACTTGTTTCCTTCTTCCCCCCTCTCCTTCTTTCTGAATGTGAAAAGGCTGGTTCCCCCCCACCCCTGCGAGTCGCTGCGCGAGTGCACACCTCATGTTGGAGCGGAAGGAAAACTCTTTCTTTCGCAGGGCGTACGGGCAAGCATCCGTGGGGAGGCACGCCCTCGGTTGGAGGTCTGCTTGGCTTCACATGCGAACACAGGACATCTCTCACGGTGACGGCCTGGTTTCCTGCCACACAGTCCGCAACCTGCTTGCTCAGTTTCCTTGGCTCGGAGGCAATAGCTGCGGGAAAAAACACCGTTATTGTTGCTGTCCAAGTCCAGACCCCATGCCGACTCTATTGGGTAGAGGTTTTGATTGCGATGTCCGCGGGCCCTCCGCGCACCGCAGGCTGCGGCGCCACGGGTGGGGCAAGGCTGCGCCGACCCCGAAACCCTAAAAGGAGATGCTGGTTGCCCAAAACCTGCAAAGAAGCTGCTACTGACCCGAAAACGAGCTGCTGAAACCCTAAACAAAAAGACATGGCTGGGAAGCTCCGAACCCTGAAGAGGGATGTTGCTTGCAAAGAAACTGCTCGCCGCGGGGCAAGGCTGCAGGGGTCTGCGGGGCCGTGCGCGGCCGTTGGCCGTGGGCCGCGAAACCACAAAACCCAAAACCTGGAAAGAAGCTGCTATTGACAAACCCCAAACCCTAAACGGAGATGCTGAAACCCTGAGCAAAAGAATGATTGGGAAACCCTAATCCCTAAAAGAAGATGTTGGTTGACCCAAAACCTGCAAAGAAGCTGCTACTTGACAAACCCCAAAGCCTAAACAGAGATGCTGAAACCCTGAGCAAAAGGAATTGTTGGGAAACCCTAAACCCTAAAAGAAGATGTTGGTTGACCCAAAACCTGGAAAGAAGCGCTATTGACAAACCCCAAACCCTAAACGGAGATGCTGAAACCCTGCACACAAGGAATGGTTGGGAAGCCCTAAACCCTAAAAGAAGATGCTGGTTGACCCAAAACCTGCAAAGAATCTGCTATTGACAACCCCAAACCCTGAACGCAGATGCTGAAACCCTGAACAAAAGGAATGGTTGAGAAGCCCCAAACCCTAAAAGAAGATGTTGGTTGACCCAAAACCTGCAAAGAAGCTACTCGGCAAACCCTGCTGCTGCTATTGTTGCTGTTGTTGCTGCTGATGTTGCTGTTGTTGTTGGGATGGTGGTGCTTAATGTTATGCCCGCCATGCGTGGAGCCCGCTCACCCTGTGCTCAATTGAAAACAAATTGCTGCTGTTGCTGTTGTTGGTGGTTGTGGTGGTGGTGCCGCGGGCCGCGTGGCCGCTTGGCCGCGTGGCCGCGGGGCGCGTGGCCGCGTGGCAAATAATGCTAGTGTGGCTCTTTTGGGACATGGAGATTGCCTGCATGAGTGAACGACATGATGCTCACCATTCTGACTGTTGCTCACTTAGATTCTGTTCCAACTTGGTCATCTCGGTCTGCGTGCTCTGCTTGCACGTTCTCTGCACGTCCTCGACTGCTCTCTCCCGAGTTGCCTCGGCCCGGACTGCCCCGAGAAGGAAACGTGGCAAACTCATGCAAGGGCAAGGCCTGAGACCCACACTCTCTCTTCTAGTGTCGCCATCACAGCCTTGTGAGCTTCCTCTTCCAACTCCTCTCAGCAAGACGAATAGTAAGTCTTTCGCGTATTCGCATGGTTCAAGCGCTGCTGCTTGCGATCCGGAATCTCCTTGATTTTGCTTTGCAGCTTTGACAGTGATGTAGAGTGGCTGTCGATCTGCAACAGTACAGAGCATCGAGCATCAAGCTGGGTCAAGACGTTTGAAACCGGAAAACACGTAACCCATCTAGGCAATAACCTGAGGTCAGTTTGAAGCGCAGCTGGCCACGAGCCTCACTGCCCTGCTTCTGCAATCCTTCTTGCTGTGCCTCCACGGCGGCTGAACTGAACCCAAGGTGCATGCAAGTGTGAGTCTTTCAAACCAGAAACGAACAAAGACACAAAGACATCAGAAACAAGCCTTTGCTCTTGCAGGGAGCTCATGGAGCCATAGAGAAAGGGTGCACATCTGGGGCGATGCAGACTTTATCGACAGCCTCCAGCTTGATCCCCTGTAACTTTGCTTTCTCCTCTCACAGGTCAAAGACAAATTACAGAAGTGTGCCGCCCTGTGCAGCCGTACACCTTCTGCTCTGCTGCTGCCGATTCGATCTGTTCGATGTGCCTGCGGAACAGGCATGAGCTTCTCAGTGCACTTGATTGTGCGCTTGAAGCGTGGCTCTGATAAGCTCTGTATCTCCGGCACTTGGCCTGGACAGGTTCCTCTCTGCAGCTTCGACGCGGTCGGTGCGGCTGACCTGTGGGGAACATCTCGGGACCCTGCATGGACATGCACGGGCACGGACTGCACTGACGGCCCCCTTCGAACCATAGCCTGAGGTCTTGGCCAAGGCATAGTGTTGAGCACGTTCTTTGGCCATGGCCTGCAGCTCCAGGGCATCGAGAAACGAGCAAACCGTTTCTCCCGGCGTGCAAACCCCACGCCTCCAAGTCTTTTGTCTGCCGCTCCACGACAGCTTTGGATTGTTGTTCCAGAATAGCCAGTCGAGCAGACAGCGTGTCAAGCTTTGACTCGATGGCCTTTCGGCAGAGCTGCGTGCAGCTGCGAGATGCAGGACGAGCGACTACTTGTAGTAGTAATTCAGGTTTGCAGAAACAGTGCGTCCAAACGGGGCACTGTGTGCTATTACGCATACAACAGTCATAGAGCCGTTTCGTTGATGCACAAACACGTTGGAAGTTCTGGTCAGTTTTCGATTTCGCTGCTGGACCGATAAAGTCTCCCGGCGGCCTTTGGCACAGGAGGTCTCGAAACGGACACAGCTTGCGCTCTTGCATACACTGCGCGCAGAAACTCCTGCTACCTGGACACTGCACGAAGGATACGCTGAAAGAGGCAAGTGCACATGTGAGTTGATTGAAACTTCCTTAGGACATGAATTCAAGGCAGCTCTATGCATTCCCGAGCTGTTTTGGCCTGGCATCTTGACGTCGATAAGTCCGCTACTAAGCCGCTACTAGCTACAAAACTGCATTGAAAGTCAACCTGCCCAGCCACAGGCCGTGAACGCACTAATTGTCTGTAACTCTGGCAGTTCACAGGTTCGTGTGCTGTGAAGTGCCAGCGACCTACCAGAACATCAGCAGAGGCCCGAAGTCGACACAAAGGAATGTCCTGGGCACTTGCAAGCAATTAAGCCAAGAGAGGACACAAGAAAGCTAACTTCATCTCCCTTCGAGTCTATTCCTGGATACAAGACCCGATGCAAGTAGCAGCTTGTCACAGCTTTGGGGTCTCGCCTTTCTGCCAACAGACAGGTACTGTCGGTCCAAGAAGCTCGAGCTTCTCGGCGGAGCTCCGCAGGGCCCGTGCGGCAGCATCAGCTTGCCACAAACAATCTGGAACCCGTCATCAAGAGCGACGAGTTGAATGCTGCAATGTTGGGAAAGACATTCGACAACTGTGAGTCTTCGACACCCATCCACTCTGCGACAGGCATCATCCTCGGCTGCACATGACGCCTAACTGTCCCCAAGTCTTTGCCAGCAGCTCGCAGTTTCTCCATGCGAGGCGTGCTTCATGTTCTCCCAGGGATACTTTGGGATGAGACGCCCACGTCCGGCATCCTCTTCGCAGGCGAATGCAACATGCCCTTCTCTGGTGTCGCTCTACAAAACCCAGCGAACTGTGGCACATCTGGAGAGCTCCAGCCGAAACCCTCCGCCTGATTGCTGCCTTCCTGGTAAGAAGAAGGAAAGTCGTTGTAGACACGGCCACCCTTCACAGCACCTACGAGTCGCCAACGTTTGCTGGTCTTGCATGCTGCAGATGGCTTCGTGATGCGTTCGCAATGACCCTGGTCGTTGTCCTACTCTGTAGCTCTGACGATCAAACTCAGCGTTTCAAAGTAACGGCCGACGGTGGCCATCCGTGCCTCCGATGATCACATGATTGCCAGCCCAACCGTGGTCCGTGCCGTCACCACCTTGCGATGCACGAAGCGATGCAGCTTGCAACACTGGCATGAATTGAGCATGGCACAACAGCATTCCTGAGCTTTGCACTGTTAGGGGTTAACGTCCGTGCAAAGTCAGAATGTGTCAGCAAGGTCGTGGAGTCAAAGATCCCCTGGGCCTGGACAAGCAGAGCCGATCAACTAACTGAAACCTTGAGACGGCGAGGGCTACATGCCAACATGTGCACAGCATCAGATGCTTGCGCACACTTGAGGCTCCTTAGCCCGGCTTGAACACGCGTTGTGCTATCGCCGTCTAGTAATTGACCTGTTACTTCCTGAAGTCGAAGTGCTGGCAAGACCTGGCTCCTCCTGCTTCCTCCGTGTCGGCAGCAGTCCTCCCGAAACATCCTCTGCGGCCCATGAGTTTTGCCTGGAGCCCTGTTTATCTCTTCCAGACCCCGTTACCTCGCCTTGCAAGCCGAAGTGCTCCGCAAGCAAGCGACTTAGAACATCTAGTCACTCTAGTCTTGTCAACCTAGCACAAACACATGTGAGCCAAGCAGCCTCGAAACAAAGAGAAGCAACACTTAGATTCCTAACGTTCCGTGTAACGAGGATCCCGACACGTCCCGACACACTTCCCAAAGCTGGCTGTCGACCCGGCCTTCATCTCACTGACAAAGGTCTCCAACGCAGTGTTGAGCTCACCGAACCGATTGTTCAGCTCTTGGCTAACACTGGAATGCCTGGTTCCGATGTCTGCAATCATTGCTCCATCAAAACAAGCATCAGCAAGACAGTCTTAAGCCGAACAGACCGCTTAGCAACTTGGCTCCCTCTTCCGAGCTGCGTATCCCACCCACCAATTTCAACCTGGGCAGCTAAGAGCACTGAAGTGGTGACTTCGACTCTAGGCAGGCATCCAAGAAGCGTAGAAGACATCTCGCTCCGCCCTACGCTCATCACGCGCAGCGATAAGCCGTGCGACTTGTTTGAGCTGCCTGTGACATCGAAAGAACCAATTAGAGAACTGCAAGCAACAGTGTGCACCCTGCATGAGCGAGGTTGACATCAGAATCATGCTTCTTTCTGACGCAAGGAGAGTCGGGGAAGCAGCGGCGCTAGCGTGGCTCATGTAACTACTTGACAGGAAACTTGCCTGGACAAGGACACCTCATTGGTCGGATACCTCAGGACGGGAAGGCTTCACATTCTAAAGCACCAACAACTGCGCAGAAGGCTATTACTTTCAAGGTGCGAGGTCTTGAGCTTTGCTGTCTTCAGCTGCTCTCCCAACTCCTGCAGACTTGAGAAGCTTGGCAAGGTTAGTGATGCCGACCCGCACCTCCCTGGCCAGCTTGTCTCTACTGGACAGTTTTCGGGTTCCAGTGAAAAGCACGGCATCTGTCTAGCTAAATTCTAGCTCGGCACTAGATCTTGTGATCCAACGAGCACCGTTGATGCTTGCAGGGACGTCCTCGTTGAAATTGATGGCTGCGGAAAACTTTCGGACATATTCCTGAGCTTGCAAAGCAGACTCACTACATGATGGCGGAATCATTCGGAGCAACAGACTGGCAACGAGGTGCCTCAGCGTAGATATTGCCATGCTGGACACTCGTGATGTTGTCGATCACCGTCTTCAAGCGCTCGTAGTTCTCAAACTTGACTGCTCCTCGTGCCGTGAGCTTCGCAACGGCATTGCTGCATGCAGATGTTGACATCACATACATTGCAAAGAGCTTAAGGGTCTCATGAGGTCCAGACGATGCTCGTGACAGCCCGCTCTGCGGAGCCTCGCCTTGCTCACAAACCTCTGCTCTGAGCCTCGCCTTGACAGCTTTGCCGCCCCTTCAAGGAAACCAAGAACTGCAAAGTCCTGAACGCTGGTCAATAATCTCGGCTGCCGTGTCCAGGCCCTGCGACCACGTCGACATGCCAGCCACAGAGAAAGACATGGTTCCTCGATCAGTGCAAAAGCTGCCTTGAACAAAATGGGTTGGTGCTAGTGTTGCTGTTTTGGGGACATGCGCCAGCTCCCGGACATCTTGTCCAGAGTTTAGAATCTGGAGTTAGACTTCAACCGGACGGTATGCCAGAAGAATTACTGACATTCAAAAGCTTTCGTTGCTCGAAAAGCCAGCCGTCAATCAATTAGGCACCAGCTAAAATGCCGAGATTCTGTACTTCTGGCTGCCTGCACCCAAGGCATCCTTCACAACGAAACAGGCTGAGGAGTCAAATCGTAAACCGCGCTCAAAGCTAGCCAACACATGCGCTAGCGTTGCGGCCAAGTCTCCGCAATGCGACCACCGGCACCTTTGGATGCCGATGCAGCGCTTTGGCAGGTGAGTGTTTGAGCTGCCTGCTGCTGGTCTGAATGGGAGAAGAGGCCTGCGCAACCTGAGTTCTGGTGTGAATGAGGTTCATGCGTGCTGCACAGTCTAGAAAGCCTAGACTCCATGAAGATGCACCCAAATACCCAGAGCCAAGTGGCGCTCTCCCGCACCGCTCTCCCACTGCACTTTGCTGACGGGAGCTGCCAAAGAGCCCACGTTGCTAATGAACGCCGCCTCTCCGAGGTCATAGAGCTCTTTCAGAAGC